GCCATGATGGTGGGCTGGGGGCGGTGGCGTCTGTGGGTGCGAGGCGGGGGTCGGGGGCAGCCCCGACTGTGGGGAGGAGTAGTGTCCGCGCTGTGGCAGGGGGGGCCAAGACCGGGCGACGGCCCTGGAGAGTCACCACGCCGCTTGAGGCAAGGGAATAAAACTTGGCAGAAGCACCGTAACAAAAGATGTAACTGCTTGTGCTGTTGGCTTGCTTGGGTTGCACACATCAACAGGTTGGTTTTTTGCCCCGAATAAATAAAATTAGCTGTTCCTCACTGTCCTCCAAACCCAGCACAGTACTGTCCCTGTTCTCATAAAAGTGAGTCTCGAGGAGGGATTTAACAGAAGGGTCTGTTTCAGGACGAGTGTGTTTTGCATGGGGAGGGAATAGTGAGGTCGATGGGAGAAGTAGGTAACAGTGTTTGTGACTAGGGGTGTTGGCAGAATGCAAGATCGTTGTGATAATGGGCTGAGGTGAGAAGCTAGAGGGAAGCAGAACTGGAGAGCCCTTACGCATGAGGTGGAGAAGCTCTGTCCTGAGTGGAAAAACAGGAAGTCAGTGGAGGGAGTCAAGGTGGATGGAGACAGAACATGAGGCAAGCAGCATGACCATCACGATATTGGGATAAGTTTGGTGTGTGGTGAAGGACCCACACGAGAGGAGATTGCGTGGAAGCTAACGATGACCAGACCAGACTTTTATATGGACAGAATATAGATGAGCAATACATATGTATATATTTTTAAAACACTTATGCTTGCTTTGACTTGACCCAGCTGACAGGAGAAAAAAGGGTAATTTTGCCTGTTTCTTGATATACGATAGACCTGATCAGGGACTGGTGAAAGTTGAAACTAACCTGGCAAGAAGGTTAATTTCATCTGAGATCAGCTCCCTGATCTGGTTCACTGCACGGTTAGGCAAACCCTTGTCTTGGCACAAAGGAAAGGAAAGAACCAGAGCAGGGGAGTGCCTAAGCAATAGGGGAAAATGGGGCTGCAGCTTTCACCAGCAATATGGATCGTACCTACTTTAAGTGACTGTGAAACTATAGCGTGTTCATATTCAGTGTTGCAGCGTTATATTGAAAATGTCCAGATGCTGCAACAAGTAAAATCTGTTATGCTAGACACTGCATTTGCGCAGATGCTTTTAAAGGCAGCATGATGAAAGAAAGAGCAGGCAACTGGAAGTACATAGATAGGAGGACAAGAGACTTTTCTTTTGTGATAGTAAATCTTTTGCACAATCTGTCTGGGGCTCTTGCAAAGGCAGGCAGTGGAAAACTCTAATCTTTATATGTTGTATGTACAGGAAACAAGATAAGATAACTGTTTCTTTTTTCTCCTTTTCATGCTGCAAAAAAAAACAGTGGCCAAGAGCAAATCTAAGTAAGTGATGTTTTACTGACCAGTTTTTGATTTCTGCTACCACCTTGTATCTTGAAGTGACTTAATAAGATATTATACCTATCTAAGATGTTTTAATATAAATGAAGCAATTGCAATCCTTGAGTCTAGCTGCATCCTTCTGTGTTCCTCTGTACATGTGTTTGTTTCGCAGGTAAGCGCAGAGTGGTAAAACACTTGGGTTCTAAAATTGCAGCAAAGGTAGGTTTTGTTCTGCAAGGCAGTCATGTGAGGCTGAAGTGTAATA